GGGGGATTCTACGCTCGGGTGAACTCTGCAAAGCCTCAGTTCTCGCCCAAATTCCACAACCTCGGGTAGAAGTTCCTTAAGCCGAGATTTGGAGCCCATATTCTGTACCCCCGGGTAGAATTTCCCAATCCCACATACCAACATATAAACTCAATTGGTATCATTAACTATAAGCATTATAATTGTGATGAGAATATTGATGACAGGGAGGGAAACTCTACCCTCGGCTGTAGAATTTGGGCTATGAACCTCGGCATATCCTCGCTATGACCCAAATTAGTATTATTTATTATGAATAAATAATTATAAATACTGTATCAATGGGTAAACGTATACCATATATGATGAATTATTGAGTGTGGCAACACTGTATACTATATACAAGAAATTACCCATAATGACTTTACTGCTACCTTGCTGATTATACAGTGTATTAAGGATTACCATAATACTGATTTTTGTAAAAATCAATTAAATTTTGACCAAAAAGAAAATTATTTAAATTATCTACCAGCCAATTTCTTTTTCGTTACACTTTTGCTGTAACATTGAACTGGAAAACACCGTGGATTATGACGTCATCGCATTGGTCTTTGTGACGTCACAGTGATAGACATTGTACATGTGACACAGCTGAACTGTTATATGATGGTTTTATTACACTGCATAGAAACAGAAGTATATAAAAAATAATAAATGATTTCCTTAATTGGATTTTTGTATCAGATTCATGAATAAAAAGATTTCATTTTTCTCTTAACAGGGTTTTACCGAACTCTAAAGTTAAATTCATGATGTGTCATAAACTTTGTGTAAATGAAAAGGAATGCAACACCACTTTTATCACATAGAAAACAATCATTATGATTTTTAATTTTTTTTGTGACGTCATATCTTTTTGTCACACATGTTTGTTTTTCATTGTAACGTCATATAATTTAATCTTGCTTGAAACAAGCATTTTCATTGGCTAACAAAAAAATGACGTCGCCGTTTTTAACGTCGCTTTTGATTGGCTGATCCTGCAGCGCAATACTTTCTAAGAGAAAAGAGTCCATCAATAAAAGTGGATTTCCACAGGTAATGTGTATAGTAGATTAAATTATAAGGATTAACTTGAATACATTTTTCATGTTATGGAGTTATAACACAAAAAACAGGAGTGTACTCTCATCATTAACCGCCTCGCGGTTTATTTATAGTACACTCCGTTTTTTTGTGTTATAGCTCCATAACATGAAAAATATATTCAAGTTAATCCCTAAATAGTGTCTTCATTCCGAAATCTTCATAGGGTTTATAACATATGTACACGAAATACGCAATAATATGACACGAGTATTTTCCCTGCATAATAAGGTAGTCATGTGTAATTCATATCATTTACTATGCTGGAAATTATTTAACAGGGTTTTATCTGTGTTAGAAACTCGCAGGTAATGTCTTTATGAATATCAACTATTGAATGCTGCATATCAATGAAACACTCTCATTCAAAACCGTTATACACAGCTAGTTGCAATGAACACGTTGAGCAGGGTCACAGGTTACATAAGGTCGTTTTGTAGTGAATACCAGCATGTCCGTTATTCGGTGTTAAAGATCAGAAACCAGTGTCATCATTGTTTCTTAAAAAAGTATAAAGAGATATAAGATCATTTCAAAATTTTGATATTCATTACAATTTTCAAAAGTAAAAGAACAAATAAAATGCAACAAAAATAAATATTGATTGATATCTTGGTTAGGTTCTCCAACATATGAGAAGCTTAAAAAGTCGCTTCCGTTAAACTTTATTGGTGTATGCTTACAAAAAAATAATTCAAAGTTTTATTCATAACTATAATAAATTATAGAGGAATTTATGGTGATCGTCTGAAAATGAAAGAAAGACACAAAAACAAATATTTTTTAATTACATTTTGGAAATATGTGTAAACGAAATGTCAAGCTAATCGTGCGTCGAAAACTTGTACGGTTGGTGCTCATTTTAACTTCTTAAGCAAATATAGATATTAGCTTTAACTTCTATAATTTAATAACATTGATGTAATTTAGATTTAATGTCATATATCAGTAAGCTAATACGCTCGATGTATCGGTTTTCAATCGCGATTTATTTATTTCAAGGTTTTTGAACATGTGAAAAGAATATTCAGCTCATTTTAACACCATTTTACTGAATTCGTCAAGTCGTACAGGATTATTTTAGAATATCGACGACAAATTGCATTTAAAATACTAGTATAATATATTTCAGGTTTCTATTGCAGAGACAGTAGGGAAACGTGATGTTTGGGGGGTTTCGTTTATTAATGACATATTTATTTAATCCAAATTAAGTTTCTTGACAATTTCCTGGACGACTTGGCGATAACAGTAACATGAGGTATAGGAATTGTGAATCTTGAGGAAAACTTAGTTTAACAAATTTAATGCACCAAGTGGATTGGGCACACGTTTTAGCAACTTACAAAAGCTCTCTGCTCACCAGGTGTACACCAACATGTTGATAGCGACAACATACAGATACACTGTCGTGTAACAAAATAAAGTCGAAATCTACAGAAAACTATGAAGAACAGGAATGAAGTACAAGGAAATTGCCAATGTATCTGATACAATGCTTAGCTTCAATCATATCGTATCGTCCTATTTGGTACAAAGGGACTGGGCACAAGATTATAACAACTTATGAAGCCATCTCCTTTCAACAATTCGATCTGTTTCTGAGAAAGACAATTTTAAATCTTTGTGAAGGAAGCAAATACAATGTTTTGTGAACTAGTTAAGGAATCGAATATCTCAATGTATACAGCAATATAAGTGTGTATACATTATATTCCTCCCTTTAATATATTGACAACACGCTCTCGCCATCTCCTCTGTTCATTCGTTGGTAAACACACTCCGAATAACTCTCCTCGATCTGTTGTCAAGTTCATCGTAAGTTCGCTATATCATTGTACTCAACAGATATAAAAAAAAAACAAAAAAAAACTTTTTTTTAATATTTGGTATTACAAAAATGGTGTTAGCTAGAATAGTTAAGAATTGGTAGTGATAGAATATGGATGGACAGACAGACAGACAGACGGTCACAATTAATTGAGATGATAGGGGAAGAAAAAATAGTTCTACTAGAAATACTAAATACTAGACTAACAGGTAACTAAACATATGACTAACGAAATATATCTAAACGTTTTAAAACGTGTATTGTCAAATATTCTCGCAATTAAATGGACAAAAGAAAATATCAATTTGATGGGGAATGTCATTAAATACTATATCATTAATAATCAATAGTAGGAAACAATATGAAGCATTACTATTAATCATATTTTTTAAAATTATATTATTGACAAATTGTTCGTGTGAAATTTATACAAAAATAATGGAAAAGGTGAATTTATATCATTTTAATTGGTAACGTCATTAATTCCGAAACAAAAGTTTTATGCAAGAAACTTGATTGATTGTTTCGAGAAGTACATTCGATTAAATGCTTAGCCAAGGATAACGTTAGGATATTTCTTATCATCTGAAAATTGATAGAGTTTTCATTCAGGAGATTTTGGAATTCGTAAGTTATGTATTTGAATAGTTTATCGTTAAATGAAATAGCTATAAATTGTTCCATTTTACGGCCATTAAAATGATTCATAAATACAGGGAGATCAACAATGTAAACGACTCGCCTAGTTTTCGCTACTATCGCACGAATTTGATATTTTTTATCATGGAGTTAATTTACCTTGTCTAATTAGCAAACCATTCAATCTGAATCACTATATATCAGGTGTAAAGTATGTCACGTGACACAATTGTTTTCAGCTTCAGAAGCCTCGTGACACATCCATTGAAATTCTAAAATCATTATTTCTTGGAAAGTGTCTGAAAAAAAATCGTGTCAATTCAGTTTTTATCTGATGGTGAACGTTTAAAACCCAGGGACATGAAGATTTTGTTTTCATTTAAATATTTAAGAAAGTTATCTTTGATTCTTGTTTTATCATGTTCATGTGTCCTTTCAACTTATGAAGTTTGATATTGGCGGTTCAAGGACTCAGGTATATACAGCATTGTTAGGTTGATGAAATATTAAGATAAAATTTCAATTAGGAATATTCCCATAATTAATGATACTGAAAATAAAATATGCTAGGTCTAGGAATTAGTAAAATAATATTTAATACGTAATATACACAAAAAATGTCATATTTCAAGACAGATGTTTCAAAAATATAGAATTTGAACATTTTACTTTGTCAATTATAAAGTTGACGTAGCATTGAC